CTTTTTCATTTGTTTTTTTTTTGTTTGTATTTTTTTTTTTTTTTTTTTGTATTTTTGTTTTTTGTATTTTTTTTGTTTCTTCATACTCTTTACGTTTTTAAATAAGCACATACAAAAATTCCTTGAACTAAATGTTTTTTTTAATCTTGATACTTTTTTATACTCTTTGCAATTTGTAAACAAGTATATACAAAAGTTCTGTGAACTAAATGTTTTGTCTTCTTTTAAATTACAGAAATGAATCTAAATTCATTGATAAAATCATTGAAGAGATTTCAGTACATTTATTAAATCTTACCGATCTTAATGTGGCAAAGCACCCAGTTGGAACCAAGTCTCGTGTGCGTGATGTGGACAATCTTTTAAATCTTACCGATTTCAGTACATATATTATGATGTTTTGGAACATCTACTACTGTTTTTTTTATTTATTAGGGAACAAGAAAAATTAAGAGCATCATTGTAAAGTTTCCCGATCTTGATGGGACACCATTGAGTGCAACTACTTCAACCTTCTCAGAGATGAGAAATCTTAAAATGTCTATAAACAGCAATGCACACTTTTCTGGAGACATTGGCTACCTACCAAGTGAGTTAAGGTTTATTGATTGGCCGAAATTCCCATTCCAATCTTTGCCGCTAAATCTTCATCCAAAGAAGCTTGTTGAACTCAATATACCTCACAGCCGCATGTCAGAACTGGGGATGGATTCAAGGTATTGTTTTAAATCTGTTTTCATCCTTTTTTATATCAAGACATTACACACACACACACACACACACACACACACATACTTTGGAACTAGGTTGTGGTTTTCTTTGATCTTTATGATAAAGACTTTATCATGTGATCCTTTAGTTTCCAAATATTTACAATTTTTTTTTTTTTTTTTTTTTTTTTTCATTACAGGGGTTGAAAGATCTGAAATATATCAATATGGAATTTTGTGAAATGCTAGAAAAATTCCCCGACGCCTCTGGATTCCCAAATTTAGAGGATTTGAATCTAAACTACTATACAAGTTTAGTTGAGGTTCATGAATCTGTTGGAAACCTTAGTAATCTTGCTGCCTTGAGTATTAAAGGATGCCGTAACCTTTGTAGGTTTCGAAAAGTGATCAATTTGAAATCTGCAAAATATACAAATCTTGGGGGTTGTAGAATGTTCCACTATTTCCCTGGATTGGGACTATTATGGAATGCTTAACAAACTTGGATCTATCCGACACTGCCATCAATGTTTTGCCCTCATCAATTGGAAAACTTGTTAGCCTTGCAGTGGTAATATTGCAGCGTCGACTTTTGCAGGTTATTATGTTAGTCATGATGCGGTACGCGGGTGAAAAGATGGTTCAGTAGATGGTGGCATTATTCGACGTCTAACAAAGTTTTATTATTGTTTTGGAAAGTAATATGTTTATAGACATAATTTTGAGCACATATGGTAGCGTAATGTTTACTTGGAATCGAAAATGTTTTTTCAATGTGCTTGGAACACGTGCATATACGTCATATATTATTATGCAAGTGGAGAGATGTTTGAAAAAAAAAACCTTTTCTGTACTTGCATAATAACATAAGACATACCGTCTCTTGTTCTGGATCTGAACACAATGAAAAATCTCTCTATAAATCAATACGAGTGAAAAAGATTTGTGGTGCAAGCCCTGCACCAATGCAGTTACGTTATGCAGCGGCTAGATTGAGTGCTTTGATAAGGGTTATTGGAAAGAACTTGAGCATTGGGCCTGACCAAGGTCCAATCCATTTATTTCTCAATTCAAGGAACTATTGAGTATTTATTTTTAAACAAAATGAATGATGTGCATGCTCGAAGATTTCCAAGTACTTTACACATGACATTTATGGGTGACAATACCCTCTTTCACACTAATGGATATTTCTCAGTTGAAGGTACTAATGGGAATTTATGGGTAACAAGACCCTCTTCAAAGTTGACTTTGTCGATTTTATAGAACAAAAGTGCTTTCCGATAGCATTTTTTGGCAGTTTATGGTGGATAAAAGCTAAGTTTCAATGTAAATTCTTATTCTCTAACAAGAGTCACATTAGCAACTGGGTTAAAATCAGATTAATCGAAGAAGGAAAGGCTTAAACTAGAAGGAAAGTCTATTTTATAAAAAAACAGCAGAAAGGCAGAAGACAAAGACATCGAACTTTTCACATGAAAAAGACTTTAAAACTATGCAGCCTATTTTTTTACAATCTCTTGTACATTGCATGTAGTATCGATTTCTTATACAAAAACTTACTTCAAAGCACTTTAGTTACTAGAAAAAACTTGCCTGGCTAGTAGTAGGAACTTGCCCGAATAGGTTTAACCTTTTTCCAATCGCTTGTATTTTGCATTTCCTTTCAAGTTATTACTTCGTCATTGAATATTTGATAAGTATATAACTCCCTTTTCTTCATGCATTTTCATTTTCGTATAACTTGTCATAAATCTTGCTCTTACATTTATATGAGAATTGCATACTAAGTTGAACCAAGACTCGATCAGTTTATGATTATCACTTGGCATACACAAAGAAAATAATTAAAGTCCTTGCCTTAACAAGGCATGGAAAAGAACTTAACAAACATTTAACACATCTATACACAATCTTCTGATTAGAAGCTCAATTTATTTGTGGGGCAAGTTCACAATCTAAGAATAAAATTGTTTAACCTTTATGATGATTTTGGCTAATAGTGGCACGCCTGATGATAACAAATAACTCATTTAAAAGAGCCTAATGCCTACTTAAAGCTTTCAAAAATATTTTCATACTGACAAAGAGTTCCAACACTCACATGGATAATTGTGACCACCAATAGGATATGGATAAATTTGAAGAAAAACAATTAAAATCAACTAAAACAACAAGAGCACCAGTTGTGATAAGTTGCTTAAAACTTTGTTAAGTTTCTTCTTCCTCATCATCAAACCCAAAATCCTTTTTCCGAGCTACTTTTAAGCTTTTATTATTACGAGAACCTTTGTTTATAACTTTGTTAACACATCAAAGATAATATCTTCATTTGGATTTGGAAACAACTATCGAATTCGAAAACCCCTTAAATTAATTTATTGAAGATTCCTATTTTTTTTATTTTTAATTTACTACAAGGGATATTCTAAATTATGAATAGGAGAAGGTTTGAATCCAAGAAGCAGTGAATTGAGTGAAAAGACCGTAACTATCAAGACAATCCATTACTTGTGAACATAAAAGTAACTAAGACTTGGTAAAATAATCAGTTTGCATGATCATTCCCCTTATTGAAATCGTCATCGGCACCATTTCTTGTCATGCTCCCAGCTTAACTTGCATGGCCCGATAGGAAATATTTCCCAGCAACACTCACTACGCTTATTTCCTTCTTGAATATCTTGGTATATGTCGAACCACTCAAATCGACCTGGCCATTAAAAACTACCTGTAGAATTGTGTTGCATGAAAGAAGTTAGGTCTAAAATTGAATTCAAATGATTAGCAAATGTGGAGTACTTGGACGCCAATATCATCCTTTCTGGACTTATATATAGTCATCCAACGACATCCAACGGTAATAAATAGGGTTGTGAGCGTTACCATCACTTAAGGGTGGTGAGTGAGAATATACCCCGTTAACCAATATGTAATTGAGCCACTTGTTGTCTTCAGGTGAGATTAACACTGTGGTTGAGAATTGAGACCATATAATGGTATGTATGTTTTCTTTTTCTTAATAGTCGACAAATTTATCTATGAGCCAAAGTAAAAATTGAAATTTGAGTTTTTGGTTCAAATTCTGGTAGCGGAAAGTTGCTCACTTGATTTTGCATGCGTAATTGGAAGAATGGAATAGATATGTTGGGAATTACTCAACAAGAGGTAATGAAGATCGTTTGATGTTGCTCAACAATTACACAATACAAATAATTGTGTGTTGCTCCAAAATTTCATATGTTCAATCCGAATACGTATGTGAGCCTTGGTAGATTAGATTGCGGCATCAAGGAGTTGGAGCCCTTGCAAATTTAGACCGTAATTAACTTACGGGTAGAGGAGTTTGTTGCAAATTGGCGTAACCCTTATATATTCTCTGTCGATAAATTTGATGTGAAGAATATATGCCTATACAATATAGTTGAATTGATCCTTTTTTTTTTTTTTTTTTTTTTTTTTTTGTAACAATGAATGGTTGAATTGATTACTTAATATTGGATTGAATCGTGAAACAAGTGAATAAAACATTTGAATTTTGATCAGATTATTAAAAGTAGAAGATGCATTATAACGATCACTGTATAATTGAGCATACTATTTGTCGACATCAACTTTCTTACTTTGATCAATGTCCAATTGCTCAGAATATTAAAACATTTGAAAACCCATTATTTCGCCGACATCAACTATTCTTGTACTTTAACATTAAGGCCTATTCTGTCATCATGCTATTTTTATTGATTGGACATAACAATCAATGTATAATTGAGCATACTGTTTGTCATAATGTTAGAAAAATTAAGCTCATTATAAAATTTGGTACTAAATAACGTAAATACTAATAATTAAATTATTACTTAATTTTATTGGATAAATGTACCGAAGAACTAGCATACTATCCTTATTTTGTACGCATTCTGTTTGCTTTAATGAATATCGTACTTGTTTCAAAAAAAATTTATTACTTAATTTTAAATAAATATGTTTATTTTTATTATTTACAGATCATTTAAGTTACAAATTTTTTCCTTATCTCAATTTGCGTCAGGATCCAAGTCGTGGACGGTCCGAGACTCTCGGGATTTTGAATCCAACGTCACCATCCTTTTCCGTCACTCACCGTCCTTATCTCTCTCCCGTTCCCGCCACGTGTCCACGTACTATCAATTAAACGCACCCTAAACCTTCCTCCAATCTCACGGCACCTTTTCCCCTTTTTTTCAAAAAGCAGGAAAAAACAAAAGAAATAATAATAATAAAATAAAATAAAATAAACACTTGAAATATCGACCGCCACTTGTCTCTTCTTCTCCAGTAACTCAAGTCTCCTCGCTCGCTCGCTCCACTGTCTCCACTCTCTCCGCCAACAGGCAACAGCTTTTCCCTCCACCGCACGAAATGGCGTCTCAGCTCGGCGCCTGTGCTCCACGCGCCGCCCATTTCTACCTCCACAAGCACAAACACCCGCTCATTCTTCCGCTAGAATCCCTCAAAATGGCGCCGTTTGGGAGAGCCAAAATTACAGGCAGGGAAAGTTTGCGGATTAGGGTTTCCGATGGTGGGGACTCGTACCTCGGCATGTGGAAGAAGGCCGTCGAGAATGACAAGAAGGTCGCCGAGTTCGAAAGGATCGTTGAGAACTCTGCAAAAATCGATGTTGATGATCAGAGTGTGGAGCCTGTTGAGGAATTGGAGAAGAAGAGCGAGGAGTTCCAAAAGATTCTGGAGGTTTCGAAGGAGGAAAGGGACCGGGTTCAGCGAATGCAGGTTGTTGATCGAGCTGCGGCCGCGATCGCGGCTGCTCGCGCCATTTTGGAGGACAAGAATAAGGAGTTGAGGACTGAGGCGGGGGATCGCGGAGGTTCCGGTGGTGGGAGTGGCGGGGGTGGTGACGGAACAATTGGGGCTCGTCAAGAAGGTAAAGATTTGGACATTGTTTTTTATTTTTAATTAGGCAATTTGAATTTCTGATTGTTTGTTTAAATATGGGATTTTGATTTGGGATAATGAAGATAGAGATAGGTATAGTTTTGAGGTACATTTGATGCTATCGAGAAATATTGATCACTGTTTTATTTGTTAATTAAAGTCCAGAATTTCCAAGAACAAAAAAGTTAGAGTTTGATATCCTGCATATGTTTTGATGCTGATGGGATTATTGTTTCACAGAGATCGCATTATATCAAATTGTAAATGGCTTAATTGTTTCACGGAGATCGCATTATATCAAATTGTAAATGGCTTTGTAAAAGTTAGAGTTGTGAATTTGCAACATATGTTGGCATTTGATAATACGAGGGATATACACCCTGCAATCGACGGGGTAGAACTTTAAGTTACGGTGGGGTGGTAAGTAATGGCATGCTGATTTGGTATTTTTTTAGAAGGTAGTGGATGAACATCTGAATTTTGTGATCAATTGAATTGAATACTTTTTGTTTTTGTTTCTTATAACTTGCATGTCAGTAATTTGAGCATTTCGTTATCAAAAAAATTTAATTTCAACAGGAGCACAGATTAGGAGTGTAGTTGTGCCAGTGCCTCAATCGGAAATTTCAGGAACCTGGACTCCAGGTCCTGATTTTTGGTCCTGGGAACCCCCTCAGGGTAGTGATAAAGTTTCAGACGATGTCATTGACTTGCCAACAGCAATGAAAACTTCAGCACAGCTAAATGTCAGCAATCCTGTCTTGGAGAAAGAGCGATCTGTGGATTATCTCTCAATTCCCTTAGAGAGTAAGCTTCAAGAACCCAATCGAAACCCTCCTCTTCCTCCTCTCCAGTCACTGATGGAGGTTGAGAAAGTGGACGTCTCTGGGGCACTTTCCCCGAAAGAGGAACATGAACTTGGTGATGAGTTTTCAGCACATGCAGCAGAGGCAGCTCAAGCTCTTGATGCGGTGGATGAGGTGTCATCATATGGAGTGAATACAGATGGATCTAAGTGGTGGAAGGAATCCGGAATTGAACAAAGGCCTGATGGGGTGATTTGCAAATGGACAATGACCAGAGGTGTTAGTGCTGACCAAGTAACTGAATGGCAAGATAAGTACTGGGAGGCTGCGGATGAGTTTGGTCACAAGGAGCTTGGTTCAGAAAAATTGGGTCGTAATGCAACTGGAAATGTCTGGCGTGAATTTTGGACGGAATCTATGTGGCAGGTTATTCCACACACACTGCTACTTCAAACTAAATTTAAATGTTTCTCCCCTTCTTTTTCAATATCACAATCTTAATCGATTTTAGCTTTGCTTTCCAGTCAGAAACAACCCTACCTAGCTTCTGCTGTGATTGCAAGTCTAAATTGCTTCCTCGACATACTTTTAGAATTTGTTTCAATTTGTGTAGTTTTTGAGCTATAAATTATATTAATCTATGTAAATGCAGGCTCCTGTTCATAAAAGCGAGGAAATGCCCCTTAGAAATGCTGTTTTCCATCAACAGGATTGCCATAAGAAGTTTTATGTAGCAATTAGTTTATTTGTCGTACCATTGACTTCTCAACAACAATTTTGCTATTGCCAACAGAGTTGATATTATTTTTCAGAGAGTGGTCCTAGAGTCTATTAACTCATTTTCCAAATGAATTTATGAGATAAATTGTGCTAGGTTTGATTTGGCGATGAAATGTTTTGGTTAAAAAAATGTTGTTTTACACCGAAAACCCTCATGCTTTCATGATTGTGGGAGGATGCCTATTCCCTGCACCAACTGGCAGCACATATTGAATGTACACGAACCGTCTTCAATGTGTTTTAGAACCCTGGCCCTCTATCTGTCTGCATCTCTGTAGGCATAGTCTATTTTTAATGATTTTAAGATGCATGGAAAGCTGTCATCTCTTGTCGTGTTATCATTTTTGGGCATGTTAGTTTCGTCTGATGAGAATATGAATGTTTCAAATCTTAGAACAAACTGAACAGAAAGTTTTGATTTGATTGCAGAATTGTGGACTTGTGCATATGGAGAAAACTGCAGACAAGTGGGGAAAGAATGGTAGAGGCGATGAGTGGCACGAGAAATGGAAGGAACACTATGATGCCTCAGGCCAGGCAGAGAAATGGGCTCATAAGTGGTGTAGTATTGACCCAAACACACCCCTTGAGGCTGGTCATGCTCACATCTGGCATGAAAGGTACCAAACTCCCTGAATTAAATTGATTAACTGTTTGATGCCATGCCCCCAGTAACATTGTCTCATTTATTCGTGCCGTCCGGTCAAATTGTTTCCGCATGGCAGTAGATTCCAAGAAATTGTAATATTCCTGCAGATTTGTCAATCAACGTGCTCATATCTTGACATGCTTTGCATCTGTTGCAGGTGGGGCGAACAGTATGATGGACATGGTGGCAGCGAAAAATACACTGACAAATGGGCTGAGCGATGTGAGGGTGATGGCTGGGCAAAATGGGGTGACAAATGGGATGAACATTTTGATCCAAATGGTCACGGCGTGAAGCAGGGGGAAACATGGTGGGAAGGTAAGTTTGGAGAGCGCTGGAACCGGACATGGGGCGAGGGCCACAATGGTAGTGGGTGGGTTCACAAGTATGGGAAGAGCAGCAGCGGCGAGCACTGGGATACACATGAGCAGCAAGACACATGGTATGAGAGATTCCCCCACTTCGGGTTCTACCACTGCTTCGAAAACTCAGTCAAGCTGCGGGAAGTTCCAAAGCCATCCGAGATGTCATAGACTGGCATCTGTGCTAACTGCAAGGGCCGCCTATATACACAATCGTAGGGTCCCCTTACCTAAATAATGAATGGAGTTATAATATTGTGTGATATCACTTGTAAGCTTTACTCTGACGGTATTGTTTGGTTCCACTTCCACCGCATATCTAATATCAGAAGAGAGTTCTGATTCTGGGTGTTGTTTGAAGGAATTGCTTACAAAGGCCGAAGTATGATTCTGCTCATGCGGTTTAAGTTTCACATGGTTCTACAAAATTTCAATCGTTCCGATTTACACCATGCGTAATTTACTAGCCCTTGCAATTAAAGAAGAAGAATTAAACTCTCTCACTTTTTCAACAAAATTAACGGGACAAGTCAATTTTATCCTGTCATGTCATTTGAAAATAAATTGCTAGTGAAGATTGGTCCCTGTGCAAATGTCACATGACTGACAACCACCCCAATGAAGCACTAAATTCTTTGTCCCATACTGATGGAATAATACGTCGCCGTATTGGCCGTTCACCCGATAACGATGGGCAACAGCAGTAGTGCCGCAACACGTGGCGCGCGTTGGACCTAGAGTCACACCTACACACTCTCTGCCTGTAACCCTTCCAATTTCCCAATCCCTTTCCCTTCTCGATCCTGGCATATATGAATTCCCACCGTTCCAATTACTAGCAGTCCACAACGTTTGCTGCTCGCATGCCCACTTCACTTTAAATCTCAATCCTCACTGCAATTTTTCACCTTAGTTTCCAGTAATCAGTGACAACAAGTGTAAATTTACCTGTTCAAAATTGTGGGTTTTCCTTCTTTTATCGGAAAATGGCGATTTCGATGCTCTACGGACCTCAGAATCTCAAGCTTGTCAATGGAATAGTAGCAGTAGCACCAAACGGCTTAGGGTCTGGTGGGAAAAATTACCCTTATGGGGGTTTTTCGCACAAGGGTTTAGTGAGCTATGGCTGCAGAAGTCAAAAGACCAGAACTTTGGTGGGACCCATATGCAGTGTGTCATCGTCGAGGCCTGCTTCCCAGCCTAGGTTCATCCAGCACAAGCAGGAGGCTTTCTGGTTCTATAGGTTTTTGTCTATAGTGTATGATCATGTTATAAACCCGGGGCATTGGACTGAGGATATGCGGAATGATGCGCTCGAGCCCGCGGATCTTTACGATAGGAATATGGTGGTGGTGGATGTTGGAGGTGGAACTGGGTTTACGACTCTTGGCATTGTTAAGCATGTGGATGCCAAGAATGTGACCATTCTCGACCAATCGCCGCACCAGCTTGCCAAGGCTAAGGAGAAGGAGCCCTTGAAAGAATGTAAGATCATTGAAGGGGATGCGGAGGATCTGCCGTTCCCAACCGATTATGCAGATCGATATGTCTCTGCTGGAAGGTAACACTTCTGCTTGTTTTGCTTCCTGTAATCTGTGTCTTCTGTTGCCATTTAAAGCAATTTCAAGTGGGGTTTTGAGCAATGGAGTTATTTGTGTGAACTTCAGATGAGTTTTGTGATTGGAACTTCGATCTTATCCTAAATGTAGCCAAGATTATTATTGCTTATATCAGATTTCATTGAGGTGAATGAGAAGGATTATATACTGGTTATGTGGTTAATCTTAATTAATGGAAGGATAAGTACTTATTGCAAAGAAAAATTGAAGGGAATATTACGTTTTACAATTCTTAAAACTTGGTGTATTCCAATACAAAGCATATGTTTACAGTGATGGTGCTGTAATACTATACAAAATGAGTAGTCTACATGCTGCTGTTGGTTCTGTTTATCTTATACCATTTCATTATTTTGTTCCTCAGTATTGAGTACTGGCCCGACCCACAGCGTGGAATCAAGGAAGCATACAGGGTACTAAAAATAGGAGGAAAGGCTTGCCTCATAGGCCCCGTGTACCCAACCTTTTGGCTGTCTCGTTTCTTTGCAGATGTGTGGATGCTCTTCCCAAAGGAGGAGGAGTACATTGAGTGGTTCAAAAATGCTGGTTTCAAAGATGTTCAACTGAAAAGGATTGGTCCAAAATGGTACCGTGGTGTCCGCCGCCATGGCTTGATTATGGGTTGCTCTGTGACAGGAGTGAAGCCCTTAAGTGGGAACTCCCCTCTTCAGGTAATATATTTCTTCCAATTCAAATTAGAGACTTGCTTGTTGCTATACTCTTGAAATATTTTGTCTAGAGGCGGCAATATTCCATTTTCGAGCTGGCACCTTAAGAATTAAGTTTGTTCCACGGAAGGTGATATGACATGGATTCTGCATATTACCCTAATAGCATGTTTGCATACATTTGTCTTTCCATGTTCTTGTTCTCTTAAAACTTAATGCTTTTTTGTTTTAATATTTGTGTCCAAATTGTTTTGGAAACTAGATGTGTTTGGAAATTAAACACGACTATAGTGGTCGGTTGTGGTACAAGAAGCAATTGGCCATGGAGGTGGAGGTGGCTGCAAGAATGTCATTGGAGTTTTTTTTATCTCCTATTTCTTCATAATTGTTTCAAAATTCTACCGGAAACAGTAAATATGTGGGAATTTAAACACAACCATAGAAATTGTTGTTTGGTCGTGGAGGTTATGGTGGTCAGTTCTTGTACTAGCTTAGCTACGAGTGTCAGTGTGTGACAATGGTGGTGATTGTGACATAAATGGTGATGCTGGAGGAAATCGTAATGGCAGATGTGACTCTGGGGCAGTCACGATGGTGCTTGAATTAGCGGAAAAAGTGATGTTGGTGGGGGTTTTCTAGTGGCTGTGGTAAAGGTATTTGGCAACAACTGGTAAATAGTAGTGGTGCTGGTGGTGACAACGCTGGTTTTGGTTGATTTTAAACACAATTACAGAAAACAGGAAGAAGCAATGCGCCTTAATACAATCTAAGATTTTAGGATTGAGATCATATGACGGTCTACAATGAAGATGTGGCGCATACTAGATTTAGTTCAAAAGAAAATTTGAGGAAACTTCTTTTTGTGAGTAGTTACAGGTAAGGACCATTTAATCAGAAGTTGCTCAACTGTGCTATTGAGGTTTTAGTTTTACACACGTACCTAGATGATTATCAATTCAACTTTCAGCAGAAGATGCTGTAGATTTATATTAGGAAGCTTATTTTCACTTTGATACATTCGCTTGTCACATTTTACGATGTTTTCCTTGGTGCAGCTTGGTACAAAGGTGGAGGACGTAAGGAAGCCTGTGAATCCCTTGGTGTTTCTTTTTCGGCTCATTCTCGGTGCAACTGCGGGAGCTTACTATGTGCTGGTTCCAATTTACATGTGGATTAAAGATCAAGTCGTTCCACAAGGCCAACCTATCTGAAAAGGGAGTTACAAAATGTGAAGGGATTGTCAGCAATTCCTACAGTTTGCATCCATTTTTCCCCCGTTTGCTGTGAAGCTAGCCAGTTAAGATAATCTATTCCATTTGACATACATGCCTCTAGGCATTTGTGCTGCGGGGATGCACCTTTACTGCTTAAGTTTTTTGGAACTGCGTTGTACAAGTGACTTACTTGATCCATAGCGTCGTCGTTTTTTATGTCAACACATTTCATTTCACTGGTTTTGTAACGCCGTCAATCCATTCACGCTGTAGAAATGGGATAAATTTAAGGAACAAATTTCCTTGCTCCTGACCTACTTGTTAGTTTTTATGTTAGCCGTAATTTTTGTTTTCCTTAATGAAATGTTAGCTGTGATCTGATTGCCAATGAAACAGTGGATGCCATTGAACAGATTCTGTGGGATGGTGGAGTCCTGGTAAGTCTTGAGGAGTCGGTTATGGTTCGAAGACTTGGACCTTGTCGAATCGGGTTCGTTACTCTACATTTCTATCGAAGCAAGGAGCATGTTATTTCACCAGGTTTTACTAATGACAGGGTGATTTGTAATTTTATATGAAGGTGACTTGACTGTGGTAGTCTTTGGCAAAGTTGGAATGTGTCAATGCTTTTTAGCCGGAAGATGATGAACAAAATTGAAGTGTTCGTGGGTTTCAAGCACTAGAAGAGTCAATGGAAGTTGGTTTTACAGGTAATCAAAATTTGAGTTCTCTAATAACACGATAAAAAAACTAACAAAGAAACATTCAACCCCAAATTTTAAGTTCTACGTAAATGTAGGCCTTATGTGATGGTAAATAAGTGCATCTAGTCGATATGAAAATTTTCAAGGTGTTTTAGCTCAAGCAGATAAAAGCATTCACCACTGCATCCGATGTTCTGATTTTCAATTTGCCGTACCATGATTTGGTTCGCAAGCAAAAAAAATATATATATATATATATATATATATTAATTCATTGATAAAGGAGTGACATTTATGGTGTGAACCACGATAAGTGTTATGTTGAATGCTAAGCTTTCATTTCCTTTATTTAATGAAGCATGTTCCATATTTTTTGTCTTTGCAGTTTTGGAAAACCTATTGGTCCTTTTCTAAAGGCAAAACGTACTTGCAAAATGCAGACACCGATCTATATAAACGCGTTGAAAATACCAACCTAATGTTATTGTATTATGTATTCGAAATCTAAGGGTGCTAGCGACCTTTTGGCTCGCCCAATTTCGTTTTTCTTTTTTAGTTTTTATTCTCATCCTCCAATATCACGATAATTCAAAATGTTTATAATTTACGTAATTTAAATATTAACTTTGAAAAAAGTTAAAATAAATGTGAAACTAATTCATTTAAATAAAAATCAAACAGTTGGAATTGTGGTACGACATATCAGAATAAGAAAGAGCAGAAAAATTAAAACGAAAAGATACAAGTAAGACGCTGTTAGTCCTGGCCTCCTCGTGCAAGCAAGCAACGCAGCGTGCTTTTTGGGGTTGAAAATGTGAATGTGGGAGCAATTTACACACCTCCCCATACCCTTTAGCGTCATGCTCTTTGAATGCCCCTTGTCTTCCAAACATCAAACCCTTACAGCTGTCCATCCTTATATTTATTCATCTGCATTTACAGTCAAGCAACTACCATTTCTGCCCTAAAAGTTTCTATACCTATATATGCGGTTTAAAATTTTCAAAGATTCCAACAGTTTATAGTTTAATTCATTACTATAAGTTATTTTCGTAAAAAATTAGATAAATTCAAAATAATTGATATCTGCATTTATAATGAAGAAAATGAACGAATACAGTATTGTAAATAAATACTAAAACGACTATCATTTAATTTAATGTAATATGATTTCAAATGTGAATGATATTAAGTAGATATGATCTTTAGAAAGATAAAAACAAAAAAAATAAAAATTAAACGATTGGATTTTTAAATACGGAAACCCATATTTATATATACTTGTTTTTTTCCCTGCCTCTAACTAAGCCAAAGATTTAAAAGTCGTATGATTCTTTTCAATAAAGCCATGACTGTAACAACAAATTCCAGTCATGCATATATAAGCATTGATTTGACCACCTTTTTCTTTAATTTCACATTCTTCTTCTTCTTACATATTATTGTGAATATTAGTTTATTAAATCTTAAACAATAAAAATTTGCTTGCAGTTGCCTATTAAATACCCCAATGGAGGAGGACTTCTTCCTACTTAAACCCAGCTAAGATTGAGCTATACTCAACATTCTCTCTCTCTCTCTCTCTCTCTCTCTCTCTAAAACTCTTCTCTAGAGCTCTTTCTTTATCTCTCTAGACTTGGGAGGTTGGTTGTATAACTTGTAGAAGAAGAAGAAGATGGCAGACGTACTAAGCGAAGAACAGATTGTTGAGTTTAAAGAAGCATTTTGTCTATTTGACAAGGATGGAGATGGTGAGTTTCCTACTTTCATATCCTCCATTCTTAGTTAGTATTTATTCTCTGTAATATACACACACATATAGCATGTTATAGCATTAGACAGCTATATATAGTTTTTTTTACCTTCTCAGATTTGGCAGTGTATGCACAAAAACTAAGCACCCGTTTAATAACCATGAACCGGCATTGACGGAAAATATTTTTGAATATGTGTTTTATTAGGTTGCATTACTGTGGATGAACTGGCCACGGTGATTCGGTCTCTGGATCAGAATCCGACGGAGAAGGAGCTTCATGACATGATAAGCGAAGTGGACGTTGACGGAAATGGAACCATAGAGTTTGCAGAGTTCTTGAGCTTAATGGCAAACAAAATGAAGGTATATAATATATGTGCATGGCATTGCAGATACATATAATTTGACTAAATAAAAATTAATTAGGCTGAAATGTTATTTAAATGTTCTGAATTATGTTTGTATGATTTTCTTTCAATAGGAAACTGATGCAGAGGAGGAGCTCAAAGAGGCCTTCAAAGTATTTGACAAGGATCAGAATGGTTATATTTCAGCTACTGAGGTAAACACAATAAAAATTTCATCTGATTAATTAAATTTTTAGCAACATTTTCTCTACAAAAAGTTAATTAACTGGATGAAGGGTTAATTTTTATCAGCTTAATTTGCATTTATCAAATAAAATGCACTTGCCAATAAGACAGTTGTCTGTTTACGTATGTGACAATTTTGCTCACAAAACAAAACATGTTTTTCATTTGTTTGAAATGATTATTCATAGTGTTGCACTAGAATTTAGAACATATTAGCACCAAGACATAGTTATGAGACTCAAAAAACATATATTGAAGAAACTGTCACATATGAAGACAAGGTTACATTGATTTCTAAAGGACAATTACTTGCATGGAGTTTATAACTCAAGCAAGCAGTTAAGAGCGTTTACCTCTGCATTTAAATTCTGTTATCTCAATAAACAATATTAATAATACCAACTAGTGGCCTAAACAAGCTTTCAGCTATTGAGCAGTGAGAGGCCACCTCCAAATTCAGAATGAGTGATGGCTTCACTGCACTGACTTTAAATTTCTAGCATTGGTAGCAGGGATTGCCAGCATGGTTTCTGATAAGATGCACTTAGAAAAATAATGGGGAGAATCATATAGCTTAAGTGATGCTAATGCTTGCTTATAAAATGTTTTATTTGGGTATTCGTGAAATAATTCCCAATATTTAATCCAAATAAATCACATCCTTTTAACCCAAGTTCTTTCTTGAAGAAATTTTTCAGTGTGATCGGCATACGGGATAGTATATTACGTGTTATTATACAAATGATGAGATATGTGTGTTAAAAAGTTAATAACTTATAAAATACGATTTTCTACCACTCGTGTTTCCGTCATAAAAAAAAAAATTCTCATTCTGATGATCCATCCGTATCTTGATTCCCTGTACCTTTTTCGCATGCAATGAACACTAACCAAACCTTCATTAGACAATGTTTATATTGTTTTCCACATGGACATTTTATTGCCGACATAATGGAACACTTCACATATCGTGTTTGTTCTTCTTCTTGCTTTTTTTTAGCTGAGGCATGTAATGATCAATCTAGGGGAAAAATTGACGGACGAAGAGGTCGAGCAGATGATCAAGGAGGCAGATTTGGACGGTGATGGACAAGTGAATTACGATGAATTTGTGAAGATGATGATGACCATTGGATGATACATTTAAACAAAATTCTCCCATTCAAATTCATCCTCACTAGCCCTCAGGCAATATAAACTTGTATTCGTGTTGTCAAATGACCAAAAATGTAGGACTTGACTTGTACCCTTTGATTTGTTCAATTCCACATTGTAATTCTTTTTCAATTTCTACTTAGTCAATATCATCGTGTGTTTCAATGTGATGATGTATCAAAATCTTTGTTCTATGGGATATATTTATCTACGTCTGTTTTGTATTCATTTCATTCCAATTTTAGAATGATTTATGCCCAATTTTTCTCTTCTGTCCACTCCTTTATATTTATTTTATAGATTTTCTTTTGATTTACTCAATTCAAAAGTAGAAATATATAGTCACTTAGTATTACGATCTAGTGATATTTTTTTTTCATTGATAAGTGAGAGCTCTTAGGTTCGATTATAAACAAATACGAATTTAAACCACATTATTGCTAGCTCATTGTGAGGTTTAATCCACTCTTTATCCTTTAGTATAGATGATATTTTTGTTAAAAAAAATTAGAAATGTACAAAAAGAAAATAATGACGTGGAAGTTGTTTCTCTTTTTTTTTTTTTCAATTTTTGGGTGATTTTTAAGATTATCTTCCAACTCATAAGAGGGGTTTCTTGATTTGAAGTTTCTCCAACTTTTTTGGTTGTGAAGTCTGACTTTGACCGAAGATCAATGGTTGGAAATGTGGCTTCCAATATGAATTGAATTTCATGTTTTCTTTGCTATATCTTCAAAGGATCAAACTTTAGACCGTCCTCAAAACCGCGTGGAATGTGGAATTTTCCTCTCTGTCTCTATATGCCCAAAACCTACATTGCGAATGATCTTCTTTGACGATGTCTTATCCCTCCAAAGACTTTCCCTGCAGACCCGAAATAGCGAGCAAATATGCTCCTTCTTGTGCATCTGAATTTAAATCTTCATCTTTATTAAAATAAAATATCACTTGCATCGATAAAGAAACTTGATGTGTCGTGAAAGATTTAAAATTAGATAGGGCCTTTTATTGTCTTATGTGAAGCAACATAGGGTTGGGCTAGGTGGTATGGGTCAAGCGCATCACGTCTGTCTATCCTGGTCTGCCCTAATGACCTGACCCCAGTTTGCTTAGGCCAACCATAGTTCTATTAGAATCCAGAATTAAAAATGGCTCAATTATGAGTATGGGGAGCTTGGATGTTTCCTCAATAACTGCACTGAGTAACCTTGCAGTTTTTTCATGAAGAAAATTTGTCATATCATTCACGAAACAATAGTGAAAAAAATGATAAGAGAGAAACTCATAGTTGTATATAACTGGTGATATTTAAGATTCTGTTCGACAGTCATACTTGAAGTTCTGATGGTAATGGTTAACAATTTGGCTCATATCATCACGATGCATCATCAAAAGTTTAGACCGCAATAATTATAACAAAATGGAGACATTTGTGACTAACCTCAATATTAAGTTGATGAGGAATAAACCCTCAATATCAATGTCATTATAAAATATGAATAAAAATGAACAAATATTACAATCAGAAGCAGCATATATAATACAATTCCCTCCAAAACCATACAAATTAATTATCTCTCAATCATATAAATAGATGGAATTACATTAAAGGATAACTTACATGACAAGGTAATATAAGTTTTAAGGCAATGAAATAAATAAACAGAAGGAACAAGTGAAAACAAACACTCTTGATCAGAACTCCATTTCCCAGAAAACTCAAATTAATTAGAAAAAAAAATCACCAAGAAAAACCAATATATATGAATTAAGAGGCATTCAGTTAGTCACAGTTGCACAACACATGCAGTTGGTAAAGAGCGAAGACCGCTGCCTGCGCTTCGCTTTACCTTTTGATGAAGTAGTTGGAGCCCTAGCAGCTTCTTTGGTATGTGAGTCCAATAAATTCTTGGTTGAATTTTCAGCAGTCGAATGCTTATCATCTTCATGTGGTGTAACAACAGTACGTGCTTCTTCCTTTTCCTTCAAGAATCCTATGAATGGAATATTTGACTTCTCTGAGTTACTTGCTTCTAATGCGATGACTTTCTCTTCCACCGGCATTGCTTGGTACTGCGAAACCTCTTGATCATATCCAGTGTACTCAATAAAGCTTCCAAGAGTAACATCATCACCTTGGCTTGTTGAGCCTTCTATTGCATCCTTGTCATGATACAGCAAAGGGGTAGAATCTGATTCCTCAGTTCTCGCTTCATTTTGGAGGTCAAGGCTAAAGCTTGGAGATTTTTGTATCTGAGCACAAACATTCAGGTTATCAGCATCTGATTCAGTGCTGGACCTTCTCATATTTTCTTGTGTTTCAAAATAACAGCTTACAGATTCAGATGTTTCAACTTTTTCACATTGTCCATTGGATTGGCTGGCTGCAACTTTAGTTTCTGGTTCTGCCTTTGCTTCTGTTTGAGATGATTTAGTATGTTTTATAACGTGCTGACCAGGCATATCAAGTGCCAACTTGTTCATGGAGTCTAATGCTTCGGCTATCCAGTTATTAAAATCAACAGTGGAAGCTTTCATAGCAAAGAACTCACCACAATTCTCTTGCTTAGAATTTAGAATTGAGTCGGCGCTTTGAGGGGGCAGAGCTTCTGCTTGATCATGATCAACTGCAATTGCACACAAAGGTTCAGTTTTATTCCCATTATCTTCAACAGCTATCTTCTCTGTTGCCTCCTCTTCATCGTCCTTGCAAAGCGCGACAGTTAACTCCACTGGAACCATTACAAGTTCAGGAAACACCTCAACTTTTTCTTCCAAGTCCGAGAATTGGTACTCAGAATCCTCACTTTGGTTTCCAACACACATGACAACTAGGTTGCCATTCTCATCAACTTTTGTCTCCTCTATTCGACAGTCTCTGTCACTTAAAGGATTAATTACACTTACTCTTTCACCGCTCTTAAGTATAGAGACAATCAGTTGCAGCTTCAGATTGAAGCTCAGTTGAGTTGAAAGAATCTGGTTCTATCACCGGTTCTCCACAAGATTGGATTGTGTTACCATCATGGTTGTTCTCTCCATTTTCCAACTCTTTTTCGTTTAGTATGATTTCCTCTTCTACAATCATGCATTTGTCTTTGGGTTCAGAGCTTCTAGATGGGAGTTTGGGGACTTAAAGGCTTCCTGTTCTAATTCAGAGCAATAATTTCCAATCAAATCCATCTCATTTGGAAACTCCTCATGACTTTCGTGTCCTAAACCACTCAGACCACCATTGGATGCTATTGCTGTAAAGATGCTGAATCCACATTCAACCTTACCTCCATCTGTAGTTGCAGACTTCTCTTCGAAGATTCAATTGTTCTTGGGATGCCTTCGGCTCCAGTAATAAGTCATCCCTTTGCTTCTCCATAACTGGACCAGTGTTAGAATCAACACTTTCACCCACAATTGCCAATGCCTCAGCGTCCGAGAGGTGACCATTCACCTCAAAATCAGGATTTGATCCTAGAGAGTCTTCACTTCCTCCTTCTAAAGATCCACCGACATGTGTAGTTTCAGACTTCTCTTCGAAGGATTCAAATTGTTCTTGGGATGCCTTCTGCTCCAGTAATAAGTCATCCCTTTGCTTCTCCATAACTGGACCAGTGTTAGAATCAACACTTTCACCCACAATTGCCAACGCCTCAGCGTCCGAGAGGTGACCATTCACCTCAAAATCAGGATTTGATCCTAGAGAGTCTTCACTTCCTCCTTCTGAAGATCCACCGACATGTGTAGTTTCAGACTTCTCTTCGAAGGATTCAAATTGTTCTTGGGATGCCTTCTGCTCCAGTAATAAGTCATCCCTTTGCTTCTCCATAACTGGATCAGTGTTTGAATCAACACTTTCACCCACAATTTCCAACGCCTCAGCGTCCGAGAGGTGGCCATTCACCTCAAAATCAGGATTTGATCCCAGAGAGTCTTCACTTCCTCCTTCTAAAGATCCACTGACATCTTCTACAGTTCGGTCATCAGCATCAACTGTAGCCATTTCATGATGATTTAACTCCAAATGTGTGGATTCTTTAGGTTCTGGATCATGTGAAGTGGACATTGTCCCCTCTTTCTCTGTTGCAGTTTATAGCATAGAAGTATTATGTTGGGATTTTTTTTTCTCCTTCTCATTTAAATATATAGTCAAATTTTATTCAGAAATGCATAGAATTAAAGTTCAATTAAAAGTACAGAAATAATTCAAATAGATATATTACTTGTACTAAGACTAATTACTGAAATATCTAAGAAACTATTCAACTAGTACAATGGAGACGTACCTTTGTTGAAAGAAGCCTGTTTCTCAAAATGATGCTCGATCGTTCCTTGCAGATCTTTCTCCTCTATTTCTCGCTCTACCGGCTTCTCATATCCCGAATTGTTAATTGATGGATTTAGTTGCATTTTACCGTCTTCTTCACCTGCTTCATTCGATTCGAGTTGAACTTTTAATGGTTCATCAAGAGGATTAACTTCAATAGCTTCTTGCTCTATGGACAGAAGACCAAATGTTAAGTGACAATAGTTTTTCTAATCAGCGATTCAGTATTAAGAAAGTAGCTAACCTGTTCTGTCTGATGTCTGATCATCAACACAAGTATCTTGTATTCTCTTTGGATCATCGGAAGCCAAGTCGGTTATGTTTTCATGAAAATCTTTTCCTTCATCTTCCGGTACTACTTCATTTTCTTCTTTCATGTCATTTGCAAGAGTAGTTTCTGCCAAAGGTTTATCGGCAACTTCACCAACTGTTGTGTTCTCTTCATCTGCAAGAGAATGTAATTGCAAATCTCAAGATATATGAATCAACAAAACACAAAACAAATAAAACGTTTTCAAAAACTTCGAACTGCCATGCATGCATACCTCTCAAACCTGATGTGTTGTTGTTACCCATCTCATTTCCCATGATCAACTAATCCAAATCCTGCAGTACAAGCAATGCAAACATTACGAATCCTCTCGACTATTGTCGGATAGAGAGGAATTCAATTGAAAATTGAGTCTAAGTTCTAATACCATATGGAATGATGTATTCACTTGCAAACTGCTATAAACATTTGAGAAGAACGTAATTTAATTCTATTAAGTTGCCCTTCCAGGGTGTAGCACTTGATAAAATATACCACTCCTACTTCACTAGTTTTTCTTGACCTGCCACTATGATTATGTTGTGCCAAATGTTTAATTAATATTTAAATTGTTGTTTAT